GTTAGGTTGCAGATATGGTGGCTAGTGTAGAACCCAGGTGGACTACTTAAATTAGATACCAAAAATACATGTGTGGCTTGATGTACCCTCGTTGTAACTGTATAATCTGAAGTTAATAAGTCTAATAAAAAGTCTTTAGCTATAGAGATTACCTTAACACCCCCCAAAAAAAAAAAAAAAAAACTCTTGCTACCAAATACAAAAAACTCTTACTAGCTACTTATACATTACTAGAAATTATATTATTACAAAACCAACATAAAGCTATCACTAAGGCAACACTTTATCATATCAATATATACCAAAATAATGATGAACATCTATACAAAATCAATCTTATCTTACAAGACTCTAATATCTCTAATTCTTCAAACCAACATATCTACAAAAATATTTATCAATACTTTTACAAAGAATCACTTAAATCTTACTCTGCTTCTTCTTCTCTTTCTGATTCATCTATACAACCAACTCCCAAAATTCAATCCACTTTTAACTTTACTTGCTTTGACAAAAAAGGCTCTTGTTCTGCTACTTTCTTTGTTCTTTTTTCTACAAAACCTTCTTTAAACTAGCTAATGAAGCAGAAACCTTTTATAATAAAAAAAATAATAACACCTCTAACATCTACCATAATACATTCTATTTTTATACTTACTTTAATAAGTACCTTGAAATAGCTGCTAAAAATAACAAAATCTACAATTTATTACAAGATAAATCTATTAGCAAACTTCTCAAACAAACTACAAACTAGAGGTTGGAACCGGTTTTATTTTCATAAACCGGGTTTAATAACTTTTCAAAAATCAAAATTGAATATAAATCAGGTATATTATCTCCAGTTAGATTCGATTAATCGGTTATATTAATCCGGTTATATTCGATTAATCGGTTATATTAATCCGGTTATATTCGATTAATCAGTTATATTAATCCAGTTATATCCAATTAATCGGTTATATTAATCTGGTTATATTCGATTAATCGGTTATATTAATCTGGTTATATTCGATTAATCGGTTATATTAATCCAGTTATATTCGATTAATCGGTTATATTAATCCGGTTATATTCGATTAATCGATTATCCGGTTAATCAGTTATAATAAACATTATGTATCCCCTTTTTAATAGATCCTGACAAGCTTGTCAACGACATTATTATTGTATGATTTATAGATGTATTCTTTTATAGGTTTGATATTGATACCTTAAGTACTTTAAGGGTAATTCCAGAATAATATATGAAAGTTTTGAATTGAGCTATCTACAACAATAAAGTGGTAAAGATAATCACAAGCTAATGATATAATTATTGTGTTGCATGTGAAAAGAAGAATGGAATTAGCTAAGTGATTATTTAAGGCTAATAAAATGTTTGGGCAAGAGTAATTAATAGTCACGCATAATAGTTTTAAAGCAGAGTGAAAATGTCACAAAATTAAGTGAATATATGTCAAGAGGTCAGTTGAGCATCTTATAAGATTGGGTTTACACGAATTTGGACTAACTTACAGTCTCTTTTAATATAAGAAGACCAGTACTAGAGTTAATTATTGAGAAAGCAGATTATAATCGCTAAGGATTTATTAGTGCCCTTAACTTGATAACTACGAATATTTCTATGAAAAATGCTTGTTGTATCATACACATTAATTAGTTTTCTTATCAGTTCTGCAGTTCATAAAACGATTTTGGCTTTATATTCTTCAGTAACAACCAGTGAAAATAATTTTCTTGTTTCATTGACAATGATTTTTAAATTTAGTTGAACAAATTTAAAATCAGTTGATCTCTCTTATAGTGATGCAATAGAATCATTCCAATGAATTTTTGAAATACAACCAGCCATCTGTTGAACGATGAAAGTTCTACATACAAGCAAGAAATAAGGAATCGGGTTATTGGAACGAAGGGTTATGGTAAAGAAAATGACCGCACATAATTGACCAATGATTTGATTAATGATCAAATGTAATATAGCAGGATCAGGAATAACGTAAAAAAACTTGCTCCAAAAATTTACATAACAAACCAACCTTTGCGCTCTAACAAAATTCTTCCTTGTAAAATTTTGCCTTATAATGTCAACTCTTTTATAATAATTCTAATCGTAAATTTAATGAACAATGAGAAATGCATTGATTATCATGTGTACGGATAAATCCCGATCGTAGGGTAAATGTAGGTGATCGGGATTAAGATCAGGTACATAATATGACGCAATAATTAAAATATAAGAAAGTATAAGAGTAAATTAAGGGGAATGACGTAAATAATTTGTTATTGATTGTAATAAAAGGCAAAGAAATAAATAAAGAAAATTGGTCTTTTGCTTGAATTGATCAATAAATAACACACATACGCCTAGTAATAAAAATAACTAAGGTCTTGCGAAATATTCTACGACAGGCAGTACCAAGTTAGATTTTGGTAATAGCCTACTACTGCTTTACCCCCACGTCAGATCTCTTTATGCATATTAATAATTATACACTTTTATCAGTTATATAACTTTAATTAAATTTAATAGCGTAATTTTTAATATATCCTATTGAACATAAAAGTAATTTAATTATGGCGTATAAAACAAATTATTACACAATCACAATAATACGGTACTATATGCGTGATCTAAGATATTATAGTAAGTTATACTTAGTTACATTATGACTTATCCCAATGCTTTGAGATTTTACTACATCGCTACTCTTTAATACTTTACTATTTATTATCAAAATTATGGCATCATTTTATCAGAACATGTCAGGATCAACTTATTTAAAATTTAAGATATTTAAATTGAAAAAAGACTAATTTTAAAAAAAAATTTAAAATCGAAAAAATTTGAAATTAAAAAATTTAAAATTTAAAAGCGAAAAAAATTTGAAATTAAAAAATTTAAAATTTAAAATCGAAATTAAAAAGTTAAATTTTTTTTAAAAAAAAATTTAAATTTAAAATTCTTAAAAGGAGCTACAAGTTTCATATGCATTATAAAATGAATTAACTTTCTTAATTTTTTAGTAACTTCTATTTACCTTAATTAGGTTCACATTCAGAATTTTAAATTTTAAAAAAGTCAACAAAAATAGACTACACATGCCAATAATTTCGTAAACAAGCTAACAGTTATTAAAAAACTGTTATTCTTGTGGCGGAAACATATCAAAGTGAGCTCTATTGCGGTTTAAAAATAGAATCTTATTCACTAAATCTGGAGACAGACGGGTTCATTTTGCTGAAATATGATTGCCAGCATCAGAGAATAATCGTTCACTTGGAACCAATGTTGCTGGGATAGAAAGATATTTACATGCTAATTGGGCCAAGACAGGCAAGCTACTTTTATTTTTTAGCCACTATTCTAAAGGATTATCATTAACTTTGATTTCTTTCAACTTAATATAGTTCTTTACTTCTTCATCATCATCTGTTTCGGCTTGTGTAGAACTTGCTTCCAACTCACGAAAAAAGTCATCATCATCATTATCATGATTTTTATCCACCAAATTCTCTTCATTGTCATCCGGAATAGCAAGGTTTATTTTTAATTTATCATAAAGAGTCTTCACCAAATTCTGTGCTCTGTTTCGCTCAACGCTTGTCGCCCAATTGAAATGTTTGAACCTTGGATCGAAGAATGTGGCAACTAAAGCAATGTCTGTCGGAACTTCTCATAATTCATCTAATGACAGATAAATAGTGGCTCGAACTCTAATAAGCAAACTATTAGTAAGAACAGAGGACAAATACTCTATTCGGTCAATATCTTCTAACTCAGCGTTATTAGATTGTCTTCGTGTTCTTGTATTTCATCTTTGGCTTCGACCACGGGAAGCCATCCTTTGTCTAAACTGTCTATGTGCATACTGCCATTGTTGATGAGTGCCGGCAGCAGGAATGTCATTATCAGATTCATTACTTTCATTTTCATCGTCTTTAGCTTCTTCTCCATAAATTAGATCCAAATAGTCATTGACCGTCTCACTTGTCTTTGGCGCAAACACTTTTTTGAGCAATTTCATGTATGGATAGACAAGATTAATAGTTGGATATTTGGCGCCACATAAACGTCGAGTTACTCTTTCAATCAGTTCCAGTAAGTCCATTACATCTTGCAAAAATCTACATAACAAAAAGAAAAAACTTTAAAATCTTATTGAATATTACTTTATTTTGAATTTAGAGCATGAAGAGATAGATAAAAAGGATAAATTAAATGTGGATATGATTTAATTTATATAACTTGGGCAAAATAAAACTCAAAAAGAAATGATTCTAATATTAAAAAGGATCTAGCTTATGTCATAATATGCAACTTTTGGTGGTAAAAAAATTTGCAATCATGTGATCGCCGACGTTTCTGACCTTCAGAAGCTATTATTAATTAACAATAAAGCCGAACTTCGTTACCCTTCATATTTCAGGCTTTTGTTTAAGTAAAATCTCAAGTTTATGCAATATAGTGTTAATAGTTCTTAAGAATTTAACATTACTGTTATTAATATATTATCTTTTGATTATATGATATTATATAGGTCGGGAACGGTCAGTAATCACCTGATCGCAAATTTTAATTAGACTACAAATTAAATAAATTTATTAT